CCTGTGGAGCCTGGACAGCCCGAGGGTGCAGGGTGCCCGCAGGGAACTCCCCTCTGCGAGGGGTGCGGGGCGCTGCGTTTTTATTCACTCAGCCTGTTAGACTTGCAGGACTCTAGGACCTCTGAGAGCAGCCAGGCTGGCTTTTCACAATGCGCTTCAAGGAATCTTGGGGTTCCAGACAGGATGGGGACAGGGAGGAGGGAGAGTCCAGACCCTCACCCCCACTCCAGCCAGAGCACCTGCCTTTACCTAGTTCCCAAAGAAGTTTCCCCTGTAAAGGAGAATCATGCTGTTGTAAAAGTCACGGGTTTCTGATGTGGCCCAACCCCTGACCTGGCACAGGCTTCCCTTCGGTGTCACACCTTCTGGATCTGTTCCCAGTAGAGCAGCTTCTTGCTGGTGACGCCACGTGGCCGCACCGAGCTCCCAGACGACAACCCCCAAGGTGGACTCTGCAAGTGTGGCTCTTGTGCCGCTGGGCTGGCATTTTAGGGTGTTCCCAGCGGGGTCCCAGCAGGCCCCTCGCAGCACCCACATTTCTGTAACCTTCTCGGGCTCACACGGGGGCGGGCTGTGTTAAAGTGCACACGGCTGGGTTCTGATTGAGTGCTTGGGGGGAGCCGGGGAATGTGCATTTTAAAGCCTTGCAGGAGGTTCTGAGGAACAGGTCCAGACAAGGGCATTGCAGACAGCTGGCCAGGGCCCCTCCCGCAAATTGCAACCAGGCTGGGAGGGCTAGAAAGTCGTTTATTTTATCCAAAGTTTTTGCTCCTTGGACAGAGGGACTCTGACTTCATCTGAGCCAGGGTTTCCCAAAGTGGGGTGCCTCTGCTGCTGGAGAGGTTGTTAAAATGCAGGTTTGCCCCCCGCTCATCTGTCAGAAAACTGAGAGTGTGGCCTTGGGATCTGGTATTTTAAGCAAATTCTCCAGGGACAGCCATGAAGTCCAATTCCCTCCAAACCCCTAAAAGATGAGGAAATTGAGGATCAAGAGGTAAAAGAGACCTGTCCCCAATCACAAGTCACATTAGTGGCAGAACTGGTTCTAGACTCTGAGCCTCCACACCAGGGCGAGGCACTTGTCACCATCTGGCAGGGCTGAAGGCACTTTGCCCCTGAGACACCCCACCTGGCTGGCTGTCCCACGACAGGCCTCTGCTATCTGGAGAAGCTATCTACAACCCCATGGACATGACCTCTGACCTCTGATTTGACTGAGTCACCGTGTGTGTGTCGGGGGGAAGGGATAGCAAGGGGGGCAGAGTGGCCGTGCATGCAAACATCTGTGTCTCCACCCTCCTCTGCAAGGTCTTGCTCAAGGTCGGACAGACAGACATGACCAATGGGTACAAACGGAACCCCACTTTATTAGCAGTTAGTTCGATATTGTACATTAATGGAGGAAGGTTCCCACTGTTAACACAACCCAAAACGGCTGGTTTGAGAGCCCTGATCAGGTGAGCTGGGTAGCGCCCCCTCTCCACACCTCTCCCCACCCCAAGGGAAGGAAACCTGGGCCTGCTCCCCCAGCGTGCCCCCCGCACCCTCTCCAGTCAGCCCTCTCCTCTCCCCAGGAAATGACATGAATTTCATGCACCAATTACAAAAGGAGCCCTCTTGCTGATAAACGCTAGCATAGTCTTAAAAAACCCTCGCCTCCCTCATTCTCCTCAAGGGCCACAGAGAGGGAGGAGGGAGGAACTTAGGATAAAACACAGTCAGTCTCTCCAAGCCCTTGACGTTAACCCATGCCCATCCCTCCAGGAAGCTGAAAATATCTCCAGTCTAGGCTGGTGCTTGCCCAGGGGCAGCCAACCCAGGGATGGCAAACCCAGAACCCAACATCGCCTGCAGGGAGTGGGGCGGGGATGGGGCTGCCTGGGCCCTCCATCCTCTCAACTAGGGCAGACCCCTTCTTCCCTGACATCTGAAAACCCGGCTGTAGCTCCACCTGCTCTGTGTATAAATGGGGGGACTGAGGCCCTGGGAGGAAAGCTGTCAAGCAGCTAAGGTACCAGTTGGGGCGCCATTGCCCACCTCCTGCCTCCAGCCAGTGCTCTCTCTTCTCCTCACACCACGGTGAGGGGTGGGGGACCTTTCCCGCCACATCCCAGGGGCCTGGCTCTGCTCCAGTGCACACTGACCACGGGCCTCCAAGAACCGAAAACCCAGAACCACGAGAGAGAGAGAGAGAGAGACAGAGACAGAGACAGGAAAAGACAGACATGCAGTTTGGTGCCCTGTGTTCCATCACCAGGATCAAAGCGGGGACATCTCATTCCCAAGAGGCCCAACACGACTTGGTCTGGCGCACATGTGTTTTTATTTTATAATACTGTTATCATGTATACTACTAGTGGTCCAGTGTGCGAATTCATACACATTGAAAGGAAATTAATTAGAAGAAATACTTTAATATTGCTATTCGCCCTTTTTCTATAATAGAAGTGTCAACCAAATTCATGATCAACAATGACATATGAAAACACACATGTGCGATTGGCACCAGCGAGAGCTTTATATATATAGATAAACTTGCTTAATTAGACCTGCTTTCTGATTTAGCAAAACTTTTCCCAGCCCAGTGAAGCACCCCAACTTCTCTTTCAGGTAATTGTCAGCATCACAGCAGTAAATATCCACTTGAACCAGATTA